AATATGTACCCAGCCAGCGTCGCCCCTGTTGCCTGACCCCATCGGCCTTACCGGTGTGTCCGGTCCGTGACGGATGCGGGGCGCGGCGGGGCGTTGGTGGGGCGTTGGTCGGGCGCGGCGGGGCGCGGCGTGGGGACCGCCGCCGTCGCCGTGCACGCGTGAGCAGCCGGCCGGTACAACTGGCCGTGTGAGCGCTCCCCGGCTAATTTTCTCTTTTCGGTGTGGAGTTGCTGGTTCCTGACAAAAGCGGTGGGAAGAGGCGAAACGATGGAACGAGAGAGAAAGAGAGAGAGAGAGAGAGAGGGATAGAGGATGGTGGGGTCGATGGCGGTCGGGCCAGTTTTGGGGCCCAGCGCGGGCCGGCTGGCCGGCCGGTGGTCAGCATTCCGTCGAATTCTGTCCCAACCCAACCGGTCGCCCGAGCCGAGTGGCCACCGTGGGGCCTCTCTGGGGCCTCTGGTGCGTTGGGCCCTGGGGACCCCCCCCCCTTCCCCACCTGACGACAGTTTTATTCCCAGAGGCTTCCCCCTGCCTTGGTCCTCTGGATGGTCCTCGATGCCTTCATTTCCGCGACGGGAGGGGCGCGTCTCACCCCCGCGCGTCTCGCTCCCTCCCACTCTGCTTTTTAATTCAGCGCGCGCTTTATAATCCATTCTGTCTAATCGAGCAGCGTTTTTTTTTTTTAATGTTTTTGATTTCTGCATTTTTTTTTTGTTTGTGTCCGTCGCGCTCGCCGGTGGGGAGATTAATAGCCTGGCTCCTTTAACCTCCGGCTCTGCCCACGCCCCAGCCCAGCAGCAGCAGCAAGCAGCGGTCACCGACCGGATCGACGACGGCGTCCTGCCCGTCGTGTAGCGGATCGTGGACGTTGCTTGCTGACGTCCTTCCCGCACTCACACACGGCAGCAAAATAGCTTTAGCTCAGCCAATAGCTGAATATACAATACACAATAATTTAGCTATGTAGCTAAAAATTTACCTTTTGCAATAAAAAATTGCCTGTCGTCAATACAAATTGCTATGTAGCTAATAGTTTAGCATCGTAGCAAATTCGTAGCTAAATTTGTATCTACTTAGCTGACTTAGCCATAGTTTGTTATCCCGTATTTAGCTATTGGTTGAGCCGTACTGTACACCTAACTTTTTTCCCGTGACACATTGGTAGGCGGGTGGGAGGGCAGAGGGTCGGCGCAGGTTTTTCTGCCCTCCGGGGGCCACCCTGTGACCCGCGGCTCTCACGACCTCGCAGCAGCCCTCTTGGCTGAGCAAACACGCCCACGAAAAGTCGAGCGCGCGGCCCGCGACCCCCGCGCCCGCGAGGGTCCAGAGGAGGCCGGGGCCGGGGCCGGTCTCGTCCCGGCGGGCCGCAGAGCCCTGGAATGAGCGAGCCTGGACGCTCATGCGACGCCGCGCCACCTCCCGGCATAGGCTCAGAGCAGCTCAGCTCGTTTCCTAGTGAGCCGAACTGCGCTCAGCTCACTAGCCGGTGACTGAGCGGGCGACGCTCAGTCGGGGCGACAGAGACAGACGTATCTAGCAGCGGCGAGTGCGAGAGAGACGCGAGCGCCCGGCTGGCTCTCGGCGCCGCCTCGTGCGGCCGGTAGACCGTCGATACTCCCAGCTCGAGAGACTTTACAGAACCTCTACCTACCCTACCTCACACCACGTTTTGGAAACGAGCGTCCGGGCTCGCTCATTCCAGGGCTCTGGCGGGCCGCCGGCGGCGGACCAGCAGAGGCTCGCGCTGAATCATTATTTGAGTTGCGCGCGCCAAAAGGGGAGAGAGGCTGAAGGGCGGAGCAGGAGAGGGCGGCGGCAGGTATTTGCACCCGGCACGGCCCTGGAAGCGGGCCAGCTGCACGACGACGGTGTCCCCTGGAGTACTACACTGTACACGACCTGTCGCGGCCCCGTGACCTTTGGGGAGCGCGACGGCCCCATGGTGCCCCCCAGCCGGACAGCGGACTGCACTCAAGGAGAGACCTCCCCTGCCTATTTGGAGTGCCTTTGTCGCGCACTGTAATGGGATATTCACGTGGGGTCCGTAAGGCTGCTGGGGCCCTCGAGCAGGCTGACGACGACAGTGGGGATCTAAAACTGCAACGATCAGCGGGGATCACAGACGTGCGGCTGACGCGTCGGCTCGGCTGACATGAAGGGAAGGGGGCCATCAACTGGGACGTGTTTCGTGAAGACCTTTCCCTTGTGCAAAAGTTTTATTCTAAGAGTTACATTCAAACTATTATCCGGACGTATTGCGAAAGCGTTTCTTGAATAATTTCGACGCCGCACATTCCTTTTTTTCCTGCTGAAAGTTACCTATGCGCGCATTGTGTTTGCCCGTGAGTAAGCTGTGAGGGTCACGACGCTGCCAGCTAGCTAGCGGCTAGCGGCTGCGTGTGTGCATGCTTATGCCATATTGCTATCGTATAACACTCTTCTAACAATCTGCAATGTGTAACCCGATAGGGCGTGCGTTTGAGGTTGACCCGGCGGCGTGCGGGCGTGCGTAACGCGTGCGCGGCACGCCAGTGTCGGCCTACACCGTTCATTAAGCGGTCCTCTTGCGTGACAGAAAACACTCCGCCACTCCTCCGGTGCTGCGCTCCCCGTTACAGTGCGCGTTTGTGTGTGTTTTTGTGCGTCCGTGTGTGTGTGTGTGCGCGCGTCTGCGTTAGTCCGTCTGTGTTTGTGCCCAGGATGACAACGTTCCTGCTGCCGTATATTACTGCCTTCCCCATCCTATACACTTCGTCTTCCTCTCGCTTCCCATAATGTTTGGAGTTGTGTTCCTTTGCTGCTGCTGTACGCCGTCCCGACATTTTTCATAATTTTCATCATAATTTAAAACAGACGGGAATGGTAAAATATACGACCTGCGGCCTGTCGTGACCACCTCTGCTTTTCGATTCATCTTTGTTCGTCGACTGCCGCCCTTTTTATTCTTCCAATTCCAAGTATACAAATGTTACTACAAATGTCGCCCACCTGCAGCAGGTAGGGTGACAAAATATTTTCACACTTGTAGGTAATCGTTTGTAAAAATTCTGCCTCACGTCTGCAGGTGTGTGAATTTTTCACCTTGATTTCCACTCTGCAGTAGTGTGGTTTTGAGACTGCCGCCTCTCAGGCCGTGCCTATTCGTGACTACACTTTTTTGCCGGGCATGTAACCGGCTTGCTGGTGCCGCAGTGATGATGGGAGTTAGGCCCCTCGCGATGAGATGCATGACGCGTTCCAATCGATATGAGCTCTCTAAAACTGAAGGAGAAAGTGGATAGGATGGGCCGTGTGAGCGTGTGTCGGCGGCGCCTGGCCCGCGTACCTGACCCGGCGGGGCTGGCCGGGCCGGGCCACGGGCTGGGCGCTGGGCGTTGCGCAACTGCGGCTAGGGGGATGGTTCCTCTCGGAAGGCTGCTGCTGCTGCTGCTGCTGCTGCTGCTGCTGCTGCTGGCCGGGCGTGGGCGGGGTGCGGTGGGGCGGGGTGAGCCTAGGCGCGCAGTCAGTTCGCACACTACTGCGCCCGCGGCCGCGCTGGGCCCTATCCTCGTTACGAGAGAGAGAGAGAGAGAGAGAGAGAGAGAGAGAGAGAGAGAGAGAGAGAGAGAGAGAGAGAGACGAGAAGTCTGCGCTGCTGGGAGCTAAAGAGCGATGTGATGACTATCTTATCTTTCGCCAGTGAACAAGGAACATTTTTCTTTCTTGTATTTTTTTCCTCCTCTCCTCTCAACTCTTTCGCGCGCTCGTCTCACACCGATGGGCTGACACGGCGGCACCCCCCGCGCGTCTGTCTGTTTCTGTCGCTCCTTTCGTTATAAACTTTATCGTCATGTCCTTGATGCCTTTCTCACGCTGTGCTTTCTCGTGTTCCAGGTGGGTGTTGCACTGTTGTTGCCTGTGCTGTGCGCGCGCGCGCGCGGCCGTCTTTTGCATCCACGTGTGCCCCGGCTATCGGTGACGCGTGACGGAGCGTGACGAAGCGTGACGACGACAACACCGCGCCGCTCAGGTATTGTAAAATCGATATGCCCTTTCCATATCCCTCCCTATCTCTATCCTCTCCCCGCTTCCCTTTGCCGCGAGTGGCGATGGTGATGGCTGCAAATACACTATAGGGCGGCAGCACCAGCTATATAGCTCTTTGCGTGTTTTATTTTTTCCCGGCGCGATGGCTTTGGTGCTACCTCCATCATCCCCCTTTACCCGCTACAACCCCCCAACCTCCCTCCGCTGTGGCGCGCCCCTTGACATTGCTGGCACGAG